GGATGGAATAAGATAGATGTAGATGTGTCTAAAAAGTTGGTAAAGAGCAGGAACAGTAAATTCAATGAATTATTAAGAGTGAAAGATGAACATACTAAATTTTAAATAAAAATATTCCTTTTTTTGCCACAAAATTTTTTATTTGACTAATTAAAGCATTGTATTAGTGTAATAAATAAAATAAACTACTTAAACAGTTAGTAATATTTGTAAGCTCTCTAAAAATAGCAACAATTTGTCATATTATAAAATTTGTTATTGCAAAATTTAATATTCCTTTTTGGATACAGCTTACTTTAGTTCCCACATTTTAGCTTGCCATTTAAAATTTTTATCCCAAATAACAAAACCAAAATGAAGAAAGGCTATGAACAAGTCGAAAATATTTTACATAATATTTTAAATAAAATTGTACAAGGTCGGTTTTGTAAGTTTGGTTTAGATAAGTTATTATTTAGTAAGAGACTTTCAAATATGGTGAGATGTACTGTACATGGTTGCAGAAAAGAATTTTGTTTTTAAAAAACCTTTTTTTTTGCAAAAAAGTCCTGGTTACATATAGTATAGGCAACTTTTACATATTAATAATGCTAGTTGTAAGATTATTAACTTTTTTACATGTTTAAGAAAAAACAGTATAGGTTTATTATAAAAAAACAGGAAAATGTATTTCAGGCAATATTAAAATACGAGGTCCTGGCGTGATAGTGGAAATAGATGAATCCAAATTTGGCAAGCGTAAATACCATCGAGGCCACAGGGTAGAAGGATGTTAGATATTAGGTATGTTTGAACGATCACCGGCAAGAAGTATTGTCTTTTTAAAATAAAAAAATAGAAAATCAGAAACGTAATAAGTTTTAAAAAAGAATATGTTCTTCCTGGTAATATTATTTACACAGATTGTTAGAAAGGTTATTGCAATTTGCATAAAGAAGGTTATTTACACCGTACAGTTAATCATAGTATTAATTTTGTAGACAATACTGCTGGTGTTTACACTAATACGATAGAAGGACTTGAGCTAGGGTTAAGCTGAATGTGACTATAAGTTATTGTAATAAGAGAGATACAAGTAATTTTTGAAGCTTTTTGCATTTAAAAGAAATAATTTATCTAAAGTATTTAAAAAGTTATAAAAAATCATTCCAAAGTAATAATTAATGTTTAGTTTAATTAAAAAATTATAATTTTAATATTTTTTTACTTTTAAGAACAGAAAATGTGCATTTTTTGTTTATTTTTTTTTGTTCTTTCTTTCATTTTGGTTTTGCTTTTTTGGGGATTAAAAAATTTTAAACGGCAAGCTAAAATGTGGGGAACTAAAGTACACGAGCTTTAATTTATTTATATTAGAATGATTTTGCATTAATTATTGTAAAATTATTTTATTTTACTAAAGGTGTATCAAGTAATACTTTTAAACAAAATAAAATTTCAATAAACTCATATTTTTCTATTATAAATGCCAATATTATAAAAAATATAATATAAATTAAGCGTTATGTTATGGTTTTAATCTTAAAAATAATTATTAATAATATTTATTTAGTACAAAAATTAATTTTATATTTGTGATTTAATAATTATAAATGAATTATTAAATTAAAAAAAAAAAACATATATTTTGAAGAAATAATAGCAAGTTTACATTTGCTAATAAAATTGCATAAATATATTTTTTTATATAAAAATATTTTTTTGTTAAGGGTCAATGAATTCTAATGCTACAACAAATTTACAAATTAATAAAAATATTACTAATTTTGAACAAAAAAATAATTCAGAAATTAATACTCTTGATTTAGTTGAGGAGGATGATAAAGCATATAATTTCGAGAAAATGCTAGAAGAATATAATGAAAAAGACTATAATGAATTTTTTAATTACTACAATGGTATCGATGCAGATATAATTTTTAATCAAACAATTGGAGGTAATAAGAAAGAAGATGAGAATAAATATAATGATGGCCTTAAACAAATTGATAATAAAGAGTTTGAAGAAGATGGGTTTAATAATAAAGATGATGATGG